ACCCCAAAACCCCAAAACCCCAAAACCCCAAAACCCCAAAACCCCTTGAATCTGATGTAATTATGTTAGAGTTAACTTAAATAAATGAATAATTTATCATTCTGCAATAATACCCTAGAGAGTTTCAATGGCTTCATCAACTAATTATGAATCTTCTATAGCGAAAATAAGTCTGAGATCTGATCTGACCCATGTCTCTTTCTTATCAATCGCTTTTGATAGCTCAACAAGGTCATTGTATGAAATAGCTTTCTGTGGGAGAATTGGGCCAACATCTTGATAATTATTAATGTATTTCATCACAATCTTTGAGCCTTTGCTGGGGGACTCTCTCAACTCAACTCCAGTTTTCTTATGCATTTCTAGTTGAGTTCCAAATCTTCTAGGTGATTGCTAGCCAATTCCGATTTGAGAAGTTGACATTTTAGAGGTGTTACTTGTTCTGCCTGGACTCTGAGCTCCCTTTCTAAACATTGCTCCTACAGACGATCTTCTCTTATCAGGTGAAACTTCCATCACAACTGAAGTATCCTTAAAAACCTTAGTATATGCTTAGTGAGTATAGATTGGTAAGAACTCATCTTTCAATATCAGTTCGAATAGATTTTTATTGAGGTCTCTAGTTTTTTATTCAACTCTATCAAGTCTGGCATCTTCCTTAGTATCAAATGAAGTTCTCTAGACTTTGCTGACTGCATTTAATGGGATGGCAATCATTGGCTTTCCATAAGTGGATATCGCCTTCTCTTTGCTTTCATAAATTCTAATAGCAGTCTTGGTGATAATAGCATGTCTTTGAGTGTATGCTGTAAACTCATTGAAATTGAACTTTTACACGGTCTATGAGAATAGAATTGCCTCTATTATTAATTAGTTAAGAATATACTTACCCTTTGGGTTGAGAAGATTTACATCATATGGGTTTTAATCGTTGTCAAATCTACTGACACCTCCATCTACAGATTTTTATTCTTAATTGCCATTTCTAGCCTAAGGTGATGCTGATACTACAGCAGGTCTTTTTCCTTGATTGATATTATAGACTCTTAAAGATGACTTGTTTCCAATTCTTAATCCTTCATTCATCAATTCTTTCTTAATCTTAATCTTATATGACTGTTCCTCTTTAGGTTCATGTTCTTCTTATTTCAAGCCTAGATCAACAACACTAGATGTAAAGACATTCCCATTTAAGCCACCAAGTACCTATTTATTAATTATTATAACTTTATGTACCTTCTTATTGAGTTCAAAATTATTGCTGTTAAGTTTTCTTTGAGTTGGGTGATACTCTGAAGGAATTAATAAGAGATGAAAGTTATACTTTTCATATATAGATCCAAAGATAGCTCTTTCTGTGATCCTCCGCAGTTTCCCATTATTAGATATTTTAATAAATGTATTTATTACTTTTATATACAAATAAAATAAGATAAATTGATGAGGGGGTTTTGGGGTTTTGGGGTTTTGGGGTTTTGGGG